AACTGTCTTTTAACTATAACTACTTAAAGAAATTTTGCATAACAATAATAAAGTGGAATTCTTTTTCGTCATAATATACTTACTAGCATAATTATTGGTAAATTTATTAAATTTCTTGTTTTACTTGGAAGCACAATAGCTCCCTGACTAGCCATAAGAGCTAACTATAACCTGTTAATTTTGAGAGTAGAAGAGCTTCTACTTGACTCGCCATGAGAAATAACTATAAGCGGTTACTTATAAGAGTAGAAGAACTTCTACTCGAATAGCCATGAGAGCTAACTATAGGTGGATAATTTGTTTGTCGTAATATTTTCTTTATTTTATCACCATGAGATATTATGGTTATTATCCAATATAATACTGAACATAATTTTTATAGTAATCTGATTGGCCCGTTCAACTGGCATGTTTAAACTGTCGGGGAATCTTCAATATTGCTGTATTTTTGAGCATGACTACTGTTGTGCAAGTAACGTAGCATATATAATGTAGAGTTTAGGAACTCAGGCTCAATCTAGTCACATAGGTCTACATTGGTAATTAAGTTTCGAACTTCTATACTGAAAATCAATCCATCTCTGTCAATTAAATTGAAAATAAGAATTTTTTTTTTTTTTACATTTTTAAACAATTTTTTATTTTATTATTTTAAATTTTTTGTATATTTTGGTTTATTTTGTTTTTTTTTTTTTTTTTTTTAAATTTTTATTTTCTTGTGTGATTTTTTTTTTATTTTAATTTTATTTTATAATTATATATTAATTTAATAATAATTTTTAAGATTTCAAATATTTTTATTTTACATCATGTTTTTTTTTTTTTCTCTTCTTCTCTTATTTAATTATATTTTTTTTTTTTTGTTTTGTTTTTTTAATAATTTTATTAATATTAATTAATAATTATATGTATATATATGCATACACGTATATATATATATATATATATGCATATATATATATATATATATACATATATATATAATTTACTTATAACACAGACAATCAATAAAATTTGATGTTTATTTTTAAGTATTAAATTTCTTTAATGTTTTCTCTCGCGCGTTTTTCACATTTTTTTTTTTTTTGTTTTTGTTTTAATTATAAAGTCATTTTTTTATATTTTAATTTTAAAATTAAAAATCTAAATATAATGTTATATTAATCTACTATTAATTTATATATATGTATGTATGTATGTATATAATATTAAAATTAAATAATAAATTTAATTTCATTTTATAATTCTATAAATATATAGTAATATTTTTTTTATATATCGTATTATGTATATGGGTGTAATGTATGTATGTATGTATATGGGTGTAAAGTGTGTATGTGTTTATTGTTTAATTATTATAATTAATTAAAAAAATTTTTTTTTATATTATTATTTTTATGTATATTTTTAATTTTGTTTTGCCAAATTACTTCTATGTATATTAGAACAAGTATATGCATTATAATATAATTTACATTATACTGGTATACAATAATATTATATGCATGTGTGTATAGAAATATAATTCTGAAATTAATTTATTATAATTATTAGTTTTCTTATTAACTAAATTATTATTAATATTATTAATTATTTATTTTATAGTTTTCATTTTGAATACTAATTTAATTATGTACCTTCTCACCAAAATTATATTACAAAAAATAGGTATAAACAAAAAAAAAACTGTTATATTATCTATATATTAAAAATTATTTAATAAAATTTTTTTATACAGAAATTTTTTTTTAATTATAATTAATTTATTTTAAATTTTCTCGATTTTTTTTTTTTCCATTTTTTTTTTTTATTATTTTTTTTTTTCCAATAAATATGTATAACATCTTAATTTTAGATTTTATTTTTAATAATATAATTAAATTGTCTTTATATTTTTTTTTTTGTTTTTTTTTTGTTTTGTGTTTATTAAATTAAATTTTTTTTTCCTTAATTTTTAATAGTTTATTTTGTATTTTTGTTGTTCCTGTTTCTGGTTTTCTTCTTTTTGCAATATAATTTATAAATTTGTAATTTTTTGTAAAATTTTATTTATTTTTTTTTTTTAATTAATTAATTTATACATTTTATTTTATGCATTTTAATATTTTTATTTTAATTTCGTAAATTCGTTTAGTTTTGAAATTGTGATTTTTGATTCGGGGGGAATCGAGGGAGGGGGATCGGATAATTAATTAGTGAGCAATAACTTTTTTTAAAATTTTTGAATTTTTGAATTGGATCGAACTCTTTCCAGAATTTAATTAAAGATTTTAAAAATATTAGAAAACAATTATTTGTAATTGAAAAAAAAAAATAATAATTATTTTCCAAAATTATTAAGAAATTTTTTTTAACACAATCAATATTTAAATAAACAATAGAACAATATTTAATAAATAAAATATATTAATAAAATTTTTTTTTTTTAAAATTAATATAAAAATTAGGCCATTTTTTTGTTACTTGTTTTTTTGCATTTTTAATAATTTTTTAATTCAGAATTAAAATTAAGTACATATACATAATGTTATTCAAAAATGACAAAATCTATATATGAAAATATTAAATCACAATATTATAATTTTAATTTAAATTTAAATTGCTCGGCAAATTTCATACGCTACACTAGGCAATATAATAAAATATTGGGTGTTTAACGATTTTCCCTATACCAAGCTCACAAAATCAATTAAAATTTAAAATTTAAGCGAACACCTGTTTAAAAACTTATCTCTGTTACTAACTCTTATTTATGTTGCTCTAAATTTACTATATCAACCGCAATATCATTAATATATGCAACGATATAAAGCTGCAAACTATTTTGTATTTATATTCATACAAAATGTTGCTAATATTGTTTGTTTATAAACATTTGTTAAATTATTAGCAATATACTGAAATTTTTATAGGTTAGCGCAGTTAAATCATAATGAATACTATTTTAGAATTTTTAATAATATATTGAGTGTATCCATTACGTTATGCTTTTGCATTATTGAGATGACGAAAATCTCTAATATTATTAACATATTAAATAATTTGTAATTTAATATTTCCATAAATTTTTATCAGTTTCTCGTTAATTATATAAAACTAATATTTAACATTTTTATATATAATTAAATAATACATAATATATTACAAAATAATACGAATTATTCAAATAAAAAATGTTAAGTAGAAGTTTTATTATGCAAAGTAAAAAAAAAAAATATTTAATTTAATTATTGTACTTAATTTTCTTTTTTTTCTACAACATTTACTATTTTTATATTTACTTATTGTATTAAATTACAAAAAATGGCAGTTTACAAAAGACAATTTTTTATATTTTTTTTATAGCAATATAAAAATTTTGAAAAAAAAAAATAAGATTTTCAGAAGCATAGTTTAATTTTTTCTTTTCAAAATTAAAATATTGCTTAAAATAATTTAATTATTATTATTTAATTTTTTAATTACTTTAATATAAAATTCGTTTACAACACAAAATAAAAAATATTTACAGCCTATTCGTTTTTTCTCGCCTTTTTACTCACTTTTTATTCGTTTTTAAATCATATGATTTCTAATTTTAAGAATTCTAATTTGAGAATAAAATTACTCATTTCATTTCAATTCGATTTTTACATTTTTTGTTCTCAAATTATCGATTAAATGTCTCAATTTCTAAAATAAACTGAACAAATTTTGTAAACATCAAATAATTTTTCTCAATCGAAAATTATTACTATGTAAATATATGATACTCGTAGTTACTCATTCTCTTCTCAATTGCCGAATAAAATAGCGAGATAAAACGATCAAGCTCTTAATTATTAATTTCAAATACTCATAATACAAACTTAATATAAAAACTTAAATAAAATAATTGTAAAATTTTAATTTTTGAAATTTTTAAGAAAAAAAAAAAAAATAATTTAATAAACAATCAAATTTAAATATTTTTTTGTTTGTTTTGAAATAAAATAATTTTATAATAATTTAAAGAAAACATTTAATGTAATTTATTATTTAATTAATTATGTAATAAGGAAACAAATTATGTTTAAACAAAATTATGATTAAATTCAATTTTAACGAGAAAAAATTAATTTTTTTTTATTACTTGAACAAATTTTGAAAATTTTCTATCAAAACACACCTAAATTTTTTCTCAGTGTATACTTACATTTACTTGTAAAATAAAACATAACATAACAATTAAAAATAAAAAATATACATACAAATTATTTTAATAAAAATTGTGAAAATTTTTTTTTCAAAATTTTAAATTTTATTTAAATTAAATTAAAAAAAAAAATTATATTTAATTGTTAATATTTAAGATAATAATAATAATAAAAAATATTTTTTTTATTTTAAATAATTTTTATTGTGGAACATAGCTATACTTGTTTTTTTAATATATTACATTATTTAAATCTTAATTAATGAAATTATACTTAAAAAATTAATTTAAATTAATAAAATATTTCTATTTTTTTTGTAAATTCATATAAAAAGGGTTGTGCTCACACTTGTCCTATTATAGCAGTTTTCTTCTGATGGGTTCTGTTTTGTTTTGTCTGTTGTCTCTTCATTTATTTTTTTTGTATATATGTAGGTATTTAGTTCAAACTTAATATTACTTTGGTATTAAATGCCTCTCGTTATTGATTTTAATTAAATAATTTCTATTTTAAATATACACAGAAAAAAAAAAAACAAAACCTTATTATGTTAGAATATTGAATACATAATATAATTATAAAAAAAAAAAATCCCAGATTCAGAGTTTCAAGAAACAAAAATAATTTCTGTATTTTCAAATTTTATTTCTCATTTTATTTAAAAATTAAAAAAAAAAATCACAACTTTAAGTTGAAATTCTTTTATCCTTACAAATTAATTTTAATGATTAATTTTTTTTTTAGTTTACATTTTAATTCTAAATATAAAAAAAAAAATTCTCTTGCTTTATTTAATATTTTTTAACTGTACAAAAATTACTGGCTAAATTTTTCAACTAATTTTTTTTTTTTATTTACATTAATTATTATTTTATATATTATTTTAGTATATAGATTATGAAGAAAATAAAATTCAATAAAATTTTTTATTTTTCTCAGTGTACATTAATTTCTTTTTAGAGAATCATACATAATCTTACTGATTATAATCCATTACTGACCATTAAATCCTCAAAATAAGAACAAAAAAAAAAAAAAATCAAAAAATTAATTTTTGAATTCATTTTTTTGTTATGTTTATTCTACCACACTTCTTTCTTTAAAATATTCTTGACATTAAACGTGCTGAACTTGATAATTGATGTGGTCCTGGTATTAATGAAGAAAGTTGCTGTTGTTGTTGTTGTGATTGTTGTGACAATGACGGTGATGATGACGATGATGATGATATTAAATGCTGTTGTTGTTGTTGTTGATTTTGATTATTAATTGTTGAATTGGGTTGTTGCTGCTGCTGATGATGATGAGGCGGTAATAATAATGATGATTGTTGTTGCCTCGGTAATGGCGGCGGAAAACCAACCCAATTTTGATAGAGTCATGCGGTATCTTTACTTATATTTGAATCATCACCGCCATTACTATTACCTCCACCACTACCACCTAATACAGATAATGGTCCACCGGCACCAGTTATCAATGGTAATTGCGGTAAATGTGATGTTGATAATTGTTGATTATTATTATTATTTGCATTAGTTAAATTAGCTGCGGCAGCAGCTGCAGCAGCAGCAGCAGCAGCACTAGCTGCTACTTTACCTTGATTAACAACACATTTTCTCATATGTTTCTCTAATGTTGATGGTACACTAAATGGCATATCACAGAAACGACAACGGTATACATCTTTACCACTACGGCCATGTGTTTTCATATGTCGTGTTAATTTTGAACTTTGAGCACATGCATACGAACATAATTCACATTTATATGGTTTTTCACCAGTATGACTACGTCGGTGTACAGTTAAATTGGAACAATTTTTGAAAACTTTACCACAAAATTCACATGTATCGTTACGTTTTGAGCCATCTTTTTTTAATGGTGCCGATTGAGAATGCATTAATGGAGGATTATTTGGATTCGGCAGCATTGGTTTTAATTTTAAATTTTCAAATAATAAATCATTTCTATGTAATCCAGATAAATTCCACCATTCGGGAGCAGCTTCAAGTTTTATTCGTTTGGAAGTTTCAAATGGATTTTCAAATGGATTGAATAAAGGAACTTGTTGTTGTGCTGCGTGTTGTTGTGCAGCTGCTGCAGCTGCTTGTTGTGATTGATGTAACATATTTTTAGCAAATTCTTCACGTAATCTTAGTGCAGCAGGAAGACCATTAAGTTTATCATTTAATGGTGGCATTGTACTATTATTATTGTCATGATGACCCTTACTAGCCAAATGCAATTTTAAAGCATTTCCCGATTCTTGTAATGCTTGTTTATATGCTTCTGAATATTGGGCAATATTTGACAAACCGAATTTGTCCATAAGTTCTCCAACTAAAGAACCTGGATGTTGGGTTAACATTTTCTTATAATCTGATCTGGCATTAACAGTAAGATCTTCTGCTTCATATTTAACTTCATCATTATCTTCAATATCTTCTTCATCCATTTCATCTTCATCAACCTGTTCTTCATCTTCCATTTCTTCTTCAGGAGAGTCTTCTCCATCTAGTGTTTCCAATGAACCAGCATTACTAGTTCGATCTTCAGGTGTTCGATGAACCCTCATATGTTTCCTTAACTTTCCAATATGAGCACATTCAAATTCACATGATGTGCATTTGTAAATTTTATCTCCGGTATGAATTCTTCGATGTACAATCAAATTGGTTTCAAAACGGAATTTCTTTTCACAATATTCACAAGAATAAACGGCATCCTGTGAATTATTATTCTTTGATGGAGGCGTTGATGCTGAACGTGGTGTTGTTGTCAGTGTTGCATTATTGTTTTCATTGTTCACATTAGATAATAGTAAATCATTTGTTTTTTCTGGTGGTGTAAGACTTTGAGGTCTAGAATTAGTATTTGTTAAAGGAGTCGGTGGCAATTGTGATGGCGATGGACTTGCAAATGATGGTGATTGTTGTTTACGTGGGCTTGGTGAACTGGTTGGAGCGTTAACGACACCTGGACTTGTTGTACCAGCCAGCTGACGTAATCTTTGTGAATAGAAATCCATTTGGGGTTGGTCTAACACATTTAAACTATTTGGAACATTAGCCGCTACAGGATTATTAGCAGAAAGATTACTTGGTTGTGATCCTGCTGGTGTTATTGAACCTCTGCTACTATTTGAAGATGGACGTTCTTGTTTAACAGAGTTATTTTGATTATTAACAGCTGCGGCAGCTGCTGCTGCTGCCGCCGCTGCACTAAACGATTGGCTATGTGGATTTAATGAATTAGCAGCAGCAACTGCAGCCGCAGCTAAATTAAGGCCATGATGACGGAATTGCTCAGAAACTAATTGCTCCATACGAAAATGATCCGGATGTGGTCTCGAAAATAATGGAGCAACTTGTGAAGGAACTACTGGACCTTGTGCAAGTGGTGGCAAGGGCATTCTCAACAAATTAAATGGATTTGGATGCATATCTGGTGGTGGTAATAATGGATGATGACGTATACTTTGTGCAGCAGCAGCTGCTGCTAAATTTTGAGCATTTTGCATTGCATGTAGATGATGTTGTGCTGAAGATTGTTGTTGATGCTGTTGTTGTTGTTGTTGATATTGCTGTTGTGATGAATGGCTATTATTACTACTTTGACTAGTTGTACTATTATTACTATTATTGTTATTATTAATATTACTGGTATTGTTATTAATATTATTGTTACTGTTGCCAAGACGATTACTTGTATTATTATTATTATTATTACTGTTATTATTAGCATTTACTAAATTTATTTCATTTGATAGCGAAGAATTTGATGAACTTGAACTTAAATCTTTGATACCAATCAATGAATTGCTAACATTATTATGTGATGAAATCAATTTATTATTGTGACCAGATTGTTGTAATAAAGTATTAAATGAATTTGATGTTGATGTTGAAATTGAACCATTACCAACAGATAAATTTATTGAATGATTCGATGATACAGATGATATTGATGATGTTAATGCTGTTGTTGTTGTCGCTGCTGTTACTGTTGTTGTCACTGTTTGTGTTGTTGTTACTAATAATGGTTGTGATGATGATTGTGTTGCGTTCACATCAACATATATTTTAACACCATGTGAATTTTGGACGTGTTGAATGAGACGCCATGCAGAATATAAACGTGTTTTACATGTTGAGCATGTATAATTACTCGGTTCTGTAATTACAAAAAAACAAAGAGAAAGTTTTTAAATTAGCAACGTTTTTAAATTTTATCAAAAAAAAAAAAAAAGGAAAATGCATGAATAATAATTTAATAATGAATGAATGCTTGTACGCAAATAACAAAAAAAAAAAATTTTACATATTTTATAATTAATTATTTAAAATATTTTATTAAAAAGAGTAAAATCATAATAAGAGAGAGAAAAAAAATGAAAACAACAGAGCAATTCAACGAAGTGTTAATTAAAAGCGGAAGCATGAAAGGAAATTGAAATAAAAGAGACAAAATTATTTTTTAATTATAAAAGCATGTCATCACATTTTTATTGTCTATTTTATTTTTATTTTTGTCCTTTTAGTAAAAAATAATATAAAAATTTGAAAAAAACCAAAAAAACAAAAATTGTGTATAATTTTAAAAGTTTTTACAATAAAATTTTTCAATTTTTAAATTTTTGATTAACAAAGTTGAATTTTTTTTTTTGTTGTTTAAAAAATAAATATGAAAACTTTTTTTTTTGTACTAGATTGAAATCCCCAGAAAAAAATTTAAACCGTTGCAGTTCTAATTATACAAATATAAATTACTGTTACGTAGTGAAATAAGCAACAAATTTTGCATAATATCTCCGTCATACCGAGTGTAGCAAAGAATAAATATGAGAACTCTCTTGTTATCATACCGGGTGTATGATCCTATTGCATATAACACTTTCAATATTTTTCTTATTAATGTAGGAAAGTGAAATTGCTACAAAAATGTGAAAGCTAAAATTCGTCACAATCTATGCAATTACAATTAATTCGGAGTATAAACAATTTCCTGGCCGTGATATTGACTATATGTAAATGTGCAACTAAATGTTTGCTCATTTATTAGAAACAACGGAGTAAAATTCGAATTGATTTCATTCTGTACATTAGACATCTATAAGTTTTACGAAAACCTTTTAAAATTTTGGAACATAACCTATTCTATAAATTATATTATTCAAATCAGACTTGGCTATGAAATCCCTTTAGTCAAATGAACTACATTTTCCTTAGCAAAATACTCAAGGTAAATAAAATAGAATTATTTTTGTTTTTATAAAATATTACAATTGAATTATGAGAAAATGAAGAACACATTGAGAGAATAGGTTTTAGGAAAGAGAGACAAAGGGTGTAGAGTAAAAAAGTATTTTGTAATTTTATTCTCTATTGACTTCACTAATTATTATATGCCACTGTAATCGTATTTCACTGAATTTATAAACGTGTTTGTAGCCATTTTCAAAGTCTTTTTTCATAAAAATTGAATTACTCAAATATTGTGTTTAATTTTTGATTTCTGAAACGATTATCTTAATTTATTCTCCATATAGAGAAAAATATTGTATAAAATGCACTTAATTCTCAACAACTTTTGAATGTAGTTAGAATTTACTCTTCTATTGCTTATTAATAAGTGTGTATAATATTTACTATATATATACGAACATATGTATAACAGTTATTGCTAAAGAACTTAAGTTCAAAGATTTCCGAATAAATATCATTATCGTTTTTAAACTTTTGATCTATAAAATTTAACAATTAATAATTTTTTTTTTTGTATAGTTCTTTAGAAATAAGTTGTATGCCACGTTAGTTACCTATACTAATAAAACCACACCGTATATATTGAATGAACTTTGTAAAAAAAAAAAATTTCCGTATATATTGTGTAGCTACATATTCAAAGTATAAGTTGAAAAATTATAAATCAAAGCTTTAAATATTTACCACGCCTACTTATGATACTAAACCATTGACATTATAATATATATGTGAATGTATGTGCATATAAATAGCGCTAATAAAATGCTTTTTAAAGTTTTTGTTTTCCGTTTTGTCTCTTATTTAATTTTTAATTTGATTTGAAAAGTTTTCAGTTTGAATTCAGTTGTGGTTATTGCACAAACGTCAAATATAATTAGAATGTTGATCGCATTAGTTTACCACATAAATTTTGTAAGTCTAAATATGTTGATCTGTAGTTTAAATTTTGATTAAATTAAATTATTAATTTGTTTTAAAATAATTTTTTACTTAGTTCGAATAAATTGGGTAATTTTGACAGCGCAAATTGAAAAGTGTCACTATCAAAAATTAATTACTGATTTGTAGCCAAATCTGTTCGTCTTGCTTTGTAATGAATATCAAATAAAGTTCAAACTGTTACCAAATGGAATTATCGAATTCGTCATTATTATTTCAACTGAATCTCAAATAATCCGTGACTTGCATTTTGGAATATATGATAAATAGTAAGTTTTGGAAGTCACGGAATGTAAAATGAAATTTTAGTAAACAATATTGTAGTCAATGATTTATAGTGTTGCGCATGTCACTATGAAAATGGACGGTTTTCTACTTCCATGGTCCACATTCGAGTTAGAAGAAAGAGCCAAAATAAAACGTTCTAGTGTTGGGTCTCTTAACACCGACAATACAATTTAAAATCTACAAGTTTTCTACTCATTTTGATCATTTGAAATTGTTATATTTCCTTCGAATAACAAAATTCAATTATAGAAAATAATAAAAGAAGTGATTTCGGCACAATTCTATACTGACTTATTCTTATCACATTCACACATTACTAAAAAAAGGTGGACCAACTAAAAAATTTAATCTCATATTTTTCATCATTTTTTTTTTGTCTTGAAATAGAAAAAAAAAAATATTTTTTATACTAAATTGAAATTAAACTTTTGAAAATAAAGAAAATTGAAACCAACATTTTAATATGACCATCACGTTTTCAATTTAAAAAATAAAATAAAATAAAAAAAAGGAATTTAAACCCAAGAACAACAAAAATAAAATTAGGAAAGAAAAAAAAAATTAAATTTAACAGATTGTACATTATTTTTTTTTTTTTTTTTTTTGTGGTCACATATTGTAAATGTGTGGTGTCTTTGTATCAATTTTAAACTTGGAAAAAAAAAATCATAAGGAGCATCACAGGACTATTAACACCCTTGTATATACAACCGAATTCAACCGACATACAATCGACATACAATCGACATTATTATTTATGTTCCGTTTTGTTTTTTGCTCCTGATTTTCTATTAAATTTCCCGTAAATTTTTCCTTGTTTTCTTCCGTTTTTCTTTTTTGTGATTTTTTCGAAGATTTAATATTTTATATACAATATCATTAATATTACTATATAGACACAGATTCATGCATAGCGCTTACTTCAGGGTTTTTCTCTCTCTCTCTCGCTCTGTCTCTTTAAAGTATAACAAATTTGTCAAAAAGCAGAGTTTATTTTTTTTTTTTTACAGTTTAGAATTTAATGATGTTTTATTTAAACTTAAAAATTGCATGGGAAGGACGATAGATACAAAAGACAAATTTAATTTATCAGAAATAAATAAGAAAAAAAAACGAAAAAATCAAAACAACATTACGTATAACAATATAATAATTGGATCATTATCAAAATATGTGCAATTTTTTTTTAGGATAGTACCGTTCTATGGACCGAGTTAAAATTTTTTTAAAATATTTGGTTCGAATTCGTATATAATAGGGGTGTTTAAAACAATTTTTTTTTTGAATTAGATTGTATTATTTTTTGAATGTAATATCTGTTATACATAAATATTTATTTCTGTTATAAATATTTAGTAATTGATTGAAACATTTGCTTATATATTAAGATAAATTGCTATCATCCTTCAATTCCCGTTATTCAAATTTGGCACAATTGAGTTGAAATCGCGTTTATAGCTCGCAATACGAGAGATCTTATTTGTCAAAATTGTATGACAATAGAACTACTAAAGCAGCGAATTGTCAACAAAAATTCTGGTGACAAAAAGAATTTTTTATATTCTCTACTAATTATGGTTTTGGCTAGAAAAGCAGAAAAAAATTTTATGCTGTCAATTTGACAGATGTATAGATATATAGCTCATGTCAACCATGAGCAAATATCAGAAAATTTAGAACAGTTTTAAACAGATACTATAGCCGGCTGCATTTAAAATTGGAATGCTGATGTGAATAAGAATTATTTTCAATTACAAGCAATGGTATGTAGTTGTACAGTCAAAAATTTAAACAGAGTCAAAAGTGAACTGACATTTTTTTATATGTCTATAAGTTCAGCCTGTAAGTGTTAATGAATTTTTTAGAATCAGCAGTTCTGTTGATATAGTTAGCTATTTATTTGTGTTTTATTTTCTTCACATACTACATGACATCATATGCATATGTATAGATATAAACATATACAGATAATAATATTGTATGCCTCTAGAAAAAAAAAATATAAAATATAAAAATATTGTCCTATAAAATATTGTAAAGAAGGTATGGAGGATATAGCGTATTTATTTGAATATTTTGAAATTTATAGAGGATGCTATATAGAAACTATTAAAAACATTAAAATACACACATAAAATACATGTATATATATATATATATATATATATATCTGTATATATGCCAAGTATGTATTTCATATTTTAAACTATAAAAAATGAAAATTGAAAACATAAAAAAAAAAAAATTGATTTTTTTTTTCATTTTTATTTTATAAGAAAAAAACGATCATCATCATCATCATTTGCGATGCCATCTGTTACCATACCACATATTATTCAGTTTTATATAGAACAATATACATAGCAGTAATCATAACAATAATAAAAAAAAGCAATATGTATATACAATATTGGTAAATTTTTTTCGAAACTGTAATAAGTCAAAATATTAGGATTTTGAGTTTTCGAAATACACTCAGAAAAAAAATATATTCGGGAAACTAGCAATTGTGTGCCTGTTTTAAAACATCAATTTTTCCATGATTATTCGGGTTTCTCAACAATATATTATGATTCCCTACTCGATCTTAAAAAATTGAACCGCTTTTGTGAATCTCACAGCCAATTTATCACTATTTATTGCTTTAGAAAAACAATAAATAGTTATAAACTGACATGGTCC